TCTCTCTTTCTCTCTCTTTCTCTCTCTTTCTCTCTCTTTCTCTCTCTTTCTCTCTCTTTCTCTCTCTTTCTCTCTCTTTCTCTCTCTTCTCTCTCTCTCTCTCTCTCTCTCTCTCTCTCTCTCTCTCTCTCTCTCTCTCTCTCTCTCTCTCTCTCTCTCTCTCTCTCTCTCTCTCTCTCTCTCTCTCTCTCTCTCTCTCTCTCTCTCTCTCTCTCTCTCTTATAAAATTAAATATTACGTAATTTTTTTTCAGGTTTTTTTAAAAAAAGTTTTAATCTTTGGGGGATGAAAAAAACACCTCAATGGTACGAATAGAATCCGATGAACTCAAATAAGAAATTTTTCTTCTGCTACAAGGTAAGAAAAAAAAAATTTTTTTTTTATCCTACCGACCGAATTTCAAAGAATTCTTTAAACATATTTTTTTTAAAAATTAATTTAACTTCCTCTTTCGCGCCACCATCATTATTATTTTTATTTTCACCCGACGAACCTTTTTTTTGTCGTTTATTACTAAATATAAATGACCCAAAATTTATAAGCCACCTGTTTGGTTAAGTTGTTTAACAACATAACCGTGTGTGTTTGTCGTCGTTGTTGTTGTTGTTGTTGTTTTCTTCTTCCTTTCTTTCATTTAATTTTATGTCGTCGAGGTCAGATATTCAGGGTTAAATAATAAAAAATTTAAATAACAATACATGAATATATCGCGGAGATAATAAATAGAAAAATTACAATGATAATGATAATAATGATAAAAATTTAATAATAATAATAATAATTAGAACGAAATAGAATTAGAATGAGGAAAAAAAAAATAGGTCTGAATAAAAAGAATAAAATTTTCTAATGTGTTATTTAAAAATGGTTATTTTTTGTGGGGGAGGGGGTAAACAAACAAAAATGAATAAATAAATAAAATAAAATAAAACTTATTAACATAATGTCAAAGTGGATCGAATTTATTTATTTATTTGTTTGTTGTAATTTTAAATGAAAA